TTATATATGTGTGTGTGTGTGTGTGTGTGTGTGTGTGTGTGTGTGTGTGTGTGTGTGTGTGTGTGTGTGTGTGTGTGTGTGTGTGTGTGTAGAAAAACCAATATAATACCTCAAAAATATTGCCTGAAAAACTCCCAAAACAGTGATAACACGTCTCATGCAGTTAAAAAGGAGCCCTGAAAGCACTACATTTAGCCAACCCTAACTTTATTAAAATTTTAAGTTAATTCATAAATTGCATTTTATCTATAACAAATGTCCCCTATCTGCAAGGCACAAACTATTACAGTATAACTGTGTTTGTTGTCAGAAAATGAAGTAAAATGGCAATTACCCTAAAAGACATTTCAAGATTCTCTCCACCCCAGATATCCATTCCTGCATCGTAAGTTCCTATCTCTTCAAAGTAGTTTCTGTCAATAGAAAATAGGCCACCAGCCATAGTAGGGGTCCTAGTTGAAAACAAACAGAAAAAAAAGAAAGAAAGAAAGAAAAAGAAGAAAAGAAAGAAAAAGAAAAATACCTTTTGAAAGATACTGTGGTATTTAATAAGTGATACTACAGCATACATCTCCCCAGACATTTTGAATATAAAAAGATATTATACGTACAATAACTAAAACACACAAAATAAATAATAACCTGGTTTAGAATTTTACAGCTCCACTCCCTCACTCCCATTATATGCCACACTGCAGTTCTGATTTAGGCAAAACTCCTGCAGAAGCCAGTGGGACTTAGTATGGATTGCAGAATTACATCCTGTATGTAAAACTTGTATTAAAATAGATGTATAAGTGTATCATATGGTTAAGTGGATACAATATTGGCCTTTTGCATCTGCATAGTAGTTTAAATCCAATCTGAAATGCAGAATGAAGAGAGTTTAATTCCTTTAGCTCTGCCCTTACAGAGATTAAATGTTCATAAAATTACCAGGCATAATCTCTCTTAACAGGATTAGAAAACTTTACAACAGGCAAATCCAGTCAGAGTGCAAGTTCCCTATGAGTCAGGCTGTCCTGTTTTCCTACAACTATCTATTATACTTTTTAACTGCAGTAAACATCAAATAGTTATTTAATAGAACATAAACACATCTTACAGTAACAGTATTGAATTTGAGATTCACAGGCACTCAGATATGAGCTTTTTTTACATAAAAATAAGGACAGACATGATTGTATAAACATAAAGCAATGGGGTACGTATAATGCTCTAAGCCTAAAGACTGAGACACATCTAACGGTAGAAGAGGAGGAAATTCTATGAATCGATTTAGGGGACAGCCTGCTCCTGAAAACCTGGATCTACAAACTGCAGTCATAATCACTACAGCTGTGTGAAGCTTTGGTTGCTGATTTAACTGGGCAGAGATTCCGCCCGATTCAGCTTTGAATGTTTTTTCTACATACCTCAAGGTACCAGGCAGTTCACGAATGCTGCGATGATGAGGCAGATGGAACATCCCACAGGAGCGCAGGGGGAGGGAGGGGACTCCCCAGCATGCTCGGCGGCTGACCCAGAACTGGACTAGAAACACTTCTAGTCCACTTCTGGGTCAGCCACGGAGCACACAGGGGACCCCCCCCCCCACGCCCTCCGGCTCAGCGACTGGTGCCTCCTGGGTGTGGGGGGGGGGGCCTGGAGTCCCCCTGTGGCTGATTGCTGAGGCAAGGGGGAGGTGTGTGGGGGTGGTTCCCCATATGCTTGGCAGTGGGCCCGGAAGTGGACCAGGAGTACTTCCGGTCCACTTTTGGGTCCACCACCAAGCACATGGGGGCCCCCCCCCCCATGCTCCTGTGGGACGCTCCATCCACTCCACCATTGCAGCATTCACAAGCTGTGCCTGGTACCTCAAGGTATGTAGAAAAAGCATTTAAGCCTGTGTCTGTGGCCAAATTGCTGATCCTCTGAATTAGCATCGAATCTTCAGATTCAGCCAAATCAAATTGGGACAGTGATCTGAATCAACTAATCGAATCACTGTCCCAGATTCGGGCTGAATCTGAATCAAATATGGCCCATTTCACACACCCCTATCTATTCACAAGTGTTTTCAGAGTAGGCCCCTTAGGCTGTTTAATTCATCCTGCAGAATAATTACCCTCCACCACATTTTAAGTGATTTGTAAATTAATCAGAACAGGATTATGGCCTGCTATTATAGTATATTAGGTAACAAGAAAGCCCAGAGTGGAAATTACTACTCTGTCTTGGCTTCCTGTAGGTTGCATTACACCATGGGAGAGTACCCATCGATGTGGATACACAGCTCACTGTTGTGTAGGTGGATGGGCAACAGTGAAAGGAATAGTAGGCTGTCTTAAAGTTGATCCTGCCCTGCAGTACATTAGCTAGCACATGTTTATACACACATACAAACACACAAATCACTACTGAATATACCCAACTCTGCAACTGAATACTTCACAATAATTAACTTATTTATTTAATGAATTTTGTTCTAATTTGTGTATTGCTTATGAAAGTCATGAATACTTTGATATTCAATGTTAAAATTTTGTACTTTGCTCCTTTGGTCAGTTAAATCATTGGCTTCTGTTCCCTGAATGAATGAGAAGTGAAAACACTTGCAAGTATGAATTTAAAATTCAGTTGTTATGAGTCCTCATGAACACAGCACTGCAGTGCGTTTTATGCATGCACTAATAATTTGATTGCTAGAACATTAGAAAACAAACCAAAAAACCATTCACAAAGCTCAATAGAATTAATTCAATGATATAAGGAAAATATTTAATTTCCCATCATTCAGCTTTACTTGCATGCATTTATAAACACAAATACTTGTAAAACAGGCATGGGTGTGGCACACTAAGAACCTGTTCACTATTGCCTTAGCACCAACTCAGCTCCACTATTGTTTAATAATGGGGGTACTAGACGATAATAACCAGCTATTTATTACTGCCTTCCTGACAAAGAAAGGTGGCTGCTGTGTAAATCATCACTCTGGCCATTGTTAAAGCTATACTGCTAGAACTTTTCCCAGAAACGTGTAGATAAGAGATTCTCAAGCATCTTGAGATACTTCTAAGGGTGATGCAGAGGACCACATAATATTAGCACTATTAGGTGTGCAAACACCCACACATTATTCTCAAGATAAATCCTAAGTTTTCAAATAGGAATTCAGTGTCAAAAACATTCTAACTTGTGCTCTTTCTAAGTTCTTTGCAATGGAAGAATGTCTCTACTATTTTTCTGTAGTCAAAAAATGAGTGAACGCGAAGAGCTGGCATTTGCCATGGGTGCCTTGAGTCTAACAAGGAATCCCATGAGCCTAAAAAGAGTTAAGAACCACTCCTATAGCTACAATGACATACATATTATGCATGTGTATGTATTGTACAAATGTGTCTATGGGGTGTCTGCCCACATGTGTGCAAGAATGTATGCATGTACACATTCTGCATAAAAATAACTACATTATAAAAATGTGTGTGAATATATGTATTGTGTTACATACAGAGTATCCATAACTTACAACTACATTAAACATAGTAATGCCATTAAAAACTAAAACTTAGTAACATATTTAACAAATGGAAGCATTTGCCCTGTGACACAATATTTTCTTCTTCTGCCAGGGTTTACTATCAAAATTTCTAATAAGAAAGCATAGTTCAGTGAATAGCAACCAAGTAACACTAGATCAGTGAATTTACCTACACTTCATTTCTGTTTTGTCTCCTATACTCTAAGCATTATAAGCTCAGATAATTAACTGTCATGTGGACACAGCTAAAACTTCCTAGGTCTCAAAGCTGCTTTACTGCCCTCAATCTTGCTAGATTTCTGCCATGAGCAATATCACTGACCCCTGGAGCTATAATGAGGAATAGTAATGAAGTTGAACAGATGGTAATGATTTTGTGGCTACAGCCTTCTACCTGACTAAGACATTGAGCTATGTGATATTTCAAAAGGTAACTATCATCAAGCACAGGAAAATAAAAATTGCTGCAATTATTATGCATTTTTCCACATACTTGTATTGCATCAGACAGCAACATATTCAATACAACAGACTGAAATGGCATTTATAATAATAGCTAATGAGAAATATCTGTAAAATACAGCTACGTGAAATCTCTACAATGAAACAAAGCCATATATTGCTTTATTGGGTTTCCCTGCATATAGTTTCATAGTTTCTAGGGTCGGAAGGGACCAGAGTAGATCATCTAGTCTGATCCCCTGCCATGGCAGGAAAGATTACTGGGGTCAAACGACCCCAGTAAGGTGCTCATCTAACCTCCTCTTAAAGACCCCCAGGGTAGGAGCCAGCACCACTTCTCTTGGAAGTTGGTTCCAGAACCTAGCCACCCTGACTGTGAAGTAGCGCCTCCTGATATCTAGCCTAAATGTACCCTCTGCCAGCTTGTGACCATTATTCCTGGTCACTCTTGGCAGTGCTCAGGGGAACAGGGACTTCCCCATATCTGAACGTGGACTTGATTCATCAAAAGGTTCATCAAGAGTCACAAATATTTTTAGTAAAACTCTGTCCCAAATTGCATGAACAAACACAAACCAATTTATGAGTCTTATTCTGCAAACATTATGAGTGAGTAGTCCCATTGATTTCTCATACGTACAGCTCCGTGTCTGCACCACTGTTTGCAATATTAGACCCCGTGGTTTTGCACTGAAATTATGTGAAGTATTCATTTTATTTTTCATTTTATTTTTTTTCCGGGAAAGACTGAATGATAAACCAAGAGATTCTTGCCTGATTCAACAGCCTTTTGCTTAGAAGCATATGTTTCTGTCATAGCAGGGTACTTTACTAGGGTCATGAAACCCCTCAGGGCAATCTCATCTACCCCACC